TATCAATACACACACACACACACACACACACGCACACACACACACACATATATGATATATATGATATATATATATATTCACATTTCAGAATACGAGTACTTTAGCAAATGAGTCAAAATTATGTTTCTTAAAACATACCGGTACTAATAAACATGTTAATGTGGGTTCAGACACTCGTGTTGTTTGCTTTGTAGCTTTGATGTACTTGAGTATTGTGCTCCCTTTTCCTCTTTAATTATTTCCCCCTTCTTCCTCTTATGTTCTTTCGCTTTTCCTCTTATGTTCTTTCCCCTGTGCGTTTCTTCCTTTTCCTCGTGTGTTTCTCCCTTTCCCTCTTATGTTTCTCCCTTTTCCTCTTGTGTTTCTCCCTTATCCCTTGTGTTTCTCCCTTTTCCTCTTATGTTTCTCCCTATTTCTCTTGTTTTTCTTCCTTTTCCTGTTATCTTTATCATCTCTTGTACTGGATTTTTTCCCCTCACGCGTCTTGCTCTCTTGATTTTCTCCCTCTTCCTCTAGTATTTTTCCCTCTTGCATTTCTCCCTTTTCCTCTTGTATTTTTCCCTCTCGCATTTCTCCTTTTTCCTCTTTACGTTTTCCCCTCTTCCATTTCTCCTTTTCCTCTTGTACTTTTCCGTCTTGTTTCTCTCTCTCTCTTCCTCTTGTGTTTTACTCTTGTATATTCCCCTTTTCCACTCGAGTACCACCTCTTTCCTCTTGTGTTTCTCTCTTCTCTTCTTGTTTATCCCATTTACTCTTCCGTTTCTCCTTTTCCCTATCGTTTTCCCCCTTGTATTTCTCCCTCTTGGCTCTGTTTGGTAAAGCTGTGACCTGACCTGTGTGCCCCTGTCGGGTTTGAGTTTGAGCCTCTTGAGTTTAATAAAAGAGAAGCACATTGACAAGATAGCAGTCACTTAGTGCCAGGGGAAAAAATGACGGGCAGTTGACTGAGAGAAACAAACCGTTGGAAAATAAAAAAATAGGACCGACCAGTAGTGCCTTCCAACTAACCATTAAACCGTACAGAAAAGCTGTAATGCACAGTGCACACTGCACACTGCAGCGTTTCATCAAAGCCCAATTTGATATGGTTTGATTCAGTTGAAGGTAGCCAAATTTTTCTTCAAGGAGAGGCAAAAGTAAACGCTGACACAATTTGATCAAATTATCCGAAATTAAACTGAATCGATTTTCTTGGACAGTATAGCCTCCTTTTTATGTAAACTGTGGCCAAAAGTCGTTCAGAAACTACAGTCCAATTCATTTATAACAGTCTCTGTTATTACAGGAACTTGGATATAACAGTTGTAAATCAAACCCCCATTTATTTTCTCTATAAGTGTAAGTAATATGAACCAGGCTACAACAGGGTTCAATTTGGACAGACTCGATATAACAGTAATCTTGCAGCGCTTGAACTTGCTTTCGATCCGTCAAATCCCAACCAAGACATTTCGCCTGTTTTTATGATCACGTGTCTAAACATAAGCTTTCAAACACATAGCCCCCCCCCGGCCATAGTGTTGGGGTCACTGATTGATTCCGTCTCAGTGTCAGCAACACAGCCCACTGGAAAAGGATCTGCGTTTATCGAATATTATGGTAAGCTGAATGTGCAATGGTACTGGTAGTTTCCTTTGATGGTAGTTTCCCTTGATGGTAGTTTCCCTTGATAACGGTTATAACAGGACTCGCTTATAACAAGGAAAAACTGTGGCGTCGGTGGCCTAGTGGTAAGGCTCTCGGACTTGCAATCATAAGGTCATGGGTTCGAATCCCGTCAGGGGCCCAACGTTGTGTCCTTGGGAAAGGCACTTTACACGGATTTCCCTCACTTCACCCAGGTGGGAATGGGTACCCGGCTATAGACAGCGAAAGATCTTGTCAGTTTGTTAGTGTTTGAGCGCTTAATCAGCTGCTTGCACTGTATGCTTCCCGGGAAGCTGAAAATGTTTCGGAATGTTCCATGGTCTGCTGGGGTAATAATATAGTGTAAAGTGTATAGAGCCTGCTGTTGAGCGGGGATATGCGCTATGCAAATGCTATTTATTATTATTATTATTATTATTATTAAAATCTGTTGCTCCCATCTGTCCTGTTATATGCCAGTTTGACTGTACTACACGTTACATGACATGGCAAGGGTCAGATCTTTTGTTTATGCCCAGAATACGTAGGACCCTAATTAGTAATAGACTTATGGATCAGATTTGATGAAAAAAGCAGGGTTTTTTTTGGGGGGTGGGGGGTGGGGGGGGATTTAAAGTTCAGTTTTAGAAAGAATTATAGAGCACTTACAACACAAATAGGTCATACAGGTGCCAAAAACTACAGGTGTTACTAAAAAATAACGAACACGGAAAAGAAGAAAAAGGACAATGAATGTTTGATAGGAATGAAAGACGCAAACCACATCACAGCGCCCGTCAATCTCCCTAAAAGCAGAGGTCTATCTGACACGGTGCGCACCGGCCGACACCATTTCCTTACCCAACCAAATCTGATCAGATCAGGCAGGTCGAGTTCATGGGACTAATGAGCATCTGTTCTTAGGTACAACACTATTACTAATTTGGTTGCAATAATCGATTTAAAAAAAAATTAATTAAAATAGCAATGGTGAATAACCAATAGACAAAAAAAAAAATTAAATAAATTTTGAAATGAAAGATCGAAAAAAACATACAATAAACCTTGCAATAATAGCTAGATCGAATAAACTTTGAAAACAATTTTAGAGCAAGAATTAATGTTCACCAAACCCCCCCCCCCTACATGTAACAATAGAAAAAAAGGGACGCAAAAAAATCAAAGGGCAAAAAACAGCCTACCTTATGCACAGTCGCGCCAAAGCTGGCCAGCACAGACAAGACATCCACATCAACTTTCCTTGGATATGTCTGTCCACAGATAATGTAATGGCTGAAATACAGAAAAAGAAAAAGTATTGTACAATGACGACAGTCGTTTCAAAGCAGCCTTCACTTGCTCCATAACCAGCCACCTCCTACTGAAAATAAGCTTTTTTGCACAAGTATCAATAAAAAAAAAATTAGCAGAAGACTTTCGGAAAACCTGGTCAATTTTCAGAAAAAAAATTACAATCTGCCACTTGCAAGGAACTGGTATCAAAACGACAACACATGCAACTTGCCAGGTGCTACAGAAATGACACATTAAATTTGTATGTTTGTTTTAGTAGAGGTTTTACGGCGCTCGCAACCACATAAGGTCATATGAGCGCCAAGGGGTGGATGTCAACCGAGAAGTCCTTAAATGGAATCAGGCTTACTCTGCTCAACTCTCCAGCTTCAACAGCACAAAGTCTGTTTCGACTATCAAGGCACCCCGGAAATAGCGGGTCACAAGAGTGTGACAAACATACAAAAGAAGTAGAGTAAAAATGACGATAGTAAGGACTAAAAAAGAAAAAGCAGCAGTTCCCTGTTGCAGTTCAGGCAGTTATGAGCATGACATTGATGAATCAGCCTATTTACAATTGCAATTCTACTGTGCATAAGAACTCGAGATGTTAATGTCCCCCCCTTTGGGAATGGCCTAAAGACACTTCAGTCTGTAGCACCACCCTGGGGGGTTATATTAAATTTGTGAGGTGCGATAAAAGGTAAATTTTCAAAAAGCAATCAAGACCAGAAGACCAAAAACATTAAATTAAAAAAAGAATTCCTGCTGTCCTTTCAAAAACTCTTCCATATAATGATTGAAACCATTTTGTAACTACAGCCCTAAGAACATGTAAATGTCCCCCCTTTGGGAATGGCCTAAAGACACTTCAGTCAGTAGCATCATCCCGGGAGGTGGCTAGTGATGAAATAATGAACAACATAAATCACAGTACATCAAATAATGGACAATGCACAATATGTTACAGGATGATATACAGCGGACAACACACAATACGTGATGACATCGTGGATAACACACGCTGGTGGTACAGCACAAAGGAGAGAACATAATTTTACACAAACAGCTCACTTCTTGAAACCGGCCATTTCAGTGACCATATCGTCCAGACGCTCCACTTTGGCCGCATCCCCTTCAAACAGTGACAGGAAGCTGGCCTGCGTGCCTGTGGTGCCCTTGACCCCGCGGAAGCGCAGGTCGCGGGCCAGACGCTCCAGGCTGGTGAGATCGGTCAGCAGGTCCTGGGCCCAGATGCAAGCTCTCTTGCCCACAGTGGACACTTGAGCAGCTCTGTTGAGTAAGTGGGAGTAGAAAGGAAGAGATTAGGGAGGGTAGAATGGGAGAGATTAGGGAGGAGGTGGGAGAGACGAGGGGTGAAGAGAGAGAGGAGGGGGGAAGAGAGGGTGGTAGAGAGGTAGCAGCAGGAGTATGGGGTAGGGGAGAGAGATGAGATGGGGGAAGAGGAAAGAAGAAATGGGTGAGATGGGGGAGAGGAGAGAGATGTAGAGGGGAGAGGGGAGGTGGGAGTAGATGGAAGGCATGGAGGGAGGGGAAAAAGGGAGAGAAAAGCTTGATAGATCTCACACATCGCACTAAGAGATACCAACATAAGAGGTTGGTGAAGCCGACACAAAAGGTTGGAGACACTCACTGAAAATGTGAGACTATAATTTAGTTTAAGTAAGTTCAACAGCACTTGCAACACAATTAGGTCGTGTAAGTTACAAAGATTAGAGGTGTTACTAGAAAGTAACATACAAAGAAAAGAAAGAGGAGAGAGGAGGGCAATAGATGTACGGTAGGAAAGAAGGAGGCAAACCACAACAGAGCACTGCCAACCACTTCTACGACAAACAGAAACTGACTACTGACAGAGGATGAAGCAGATTTCAGATGTAGAAGGACTGTGTGATGTAGGAAATACTTACTGTGTAGTGTTGGAGTGTGCGATGTAGGAGATATTTACTGTGTGATGCACAGGATACTGACTGAGTGATGTACGAGTTACTGACTGTGTGATGTAGGAAATACTGACTGTGTGATGTAGGAAATACTGACTGTGTGATGTAGGAAATACTGACTGTGTGATGTAGGAAATACAGACTGTGATGTAGGAGACACTGACTGTGTGATGTAGGAAATACTGACTGTGTGATGTAGGAAATACTGGCTGTATGATGTAGGAAATACAGACTGTGATGTAGGAGACACTGACTGTGTGATGTAGGAAATACTGACTGTGTGATGTAGGAGATACTGACTGTGTGGTGCAGGAGTTACTGACTGTGTGGTGTTGGAACCGTGTGATGTAGGAGATACTGACTGTGTGATGTAGGAGATACTGACTGTGTGATGTAGGAGTGTGTGAGTAGGAGATCATGATCGTGTGATGCTCAGGATACTGACTGTGTGAGGTAGGAGATACTGACTGTGTGATGTAGGAAATACTGACTGTGATGTAGGAGATACTGACTGTGTGATGTAGGTCGAGATGTTGACTGTGATGTAAGTTGGAGTTACTGACTGTGTGGTGTTGGAGTATGTGATATAGGAGATATTGACTGTGTGATGCACAGGATACTGACTGAGTGATGTATGAGTTACTGACTGTGTGGAGTTGGAGTTACTGTGTGGTGGAGATACTGATTGTGTGATGTTCTGACAGTGTGATGTAGGAAAGAGTAGGAAATACTGACTATGTGGTGTAGGAGATACAGACTGTGTGGAGTAGTAATTACCGACTGCGGATACTGTAGATGTAGGACTGACTGAAGCATACATAAGACTTACTGTAGATGGGTGTAGGAGAGGCACGGCAAGGACTTGTGCTTTTCTGCAAACTTGGCCAGTTGGTCCACACACGAGGCCACCTGAGTCAACACAATACAAACAGTGCGCCATGACATTGTTTAGTTTTAGTTTTAGTAAGAGTTTTACGGCACTTGCAACACAATAAAGTCATATAAAAAATAAGTGCCGAAGATTAGAGGAGTCACAAGAGAGTAACAAACACAAAAAAGAAGGAGGGTAGATAAGGACGATAGATGTCTGATAGGAAAGAAGAAGCAAACCACACCAGAGCGCCTGCCAACCACCCACTCATGACATCGTTAACAACACACATCATTGTGGAATCAGTGGTCTAATGGTTAGGCTGTCGGTCTCATTACTGCTGAAAGGTGATAGGTTCGCACTCCATTAGATAAGGGCCCAACGTTGTGTCCTTGGGAAGCGCACTTTACACAAAATTTCCTAACTTTACCCGCGTGGGAAATGGGCACCTGGCTATAGGCCGTGAAAGATCTAGCCAATTTGCAGTTGTTTCAGCACTAAATCAGCGGCTTGCATTGTATGCTACCCCAGAGGCCAAGAATGTTTGAAAGGGAAATAAGGACGATAGGTGTTTGATAGGAAAGAAGAAGCAAACCACACCATAGCACCCGCCAACCATCCACATGTGCTGTATGGATACTATTATTATTATTATTTTCCAGAAATATTGGACAACAACACAGGGTATGGGTACATGAAAAAGTACACAACACCCAACACAGCTCATGAGACAGCAGACAACAAAACACAGTACACAATATAGTGGACTATGTGCAATACAGTACAAAAAATACTGGACAACTCACACAGCACAGGATATAATAAGCAACAAGCATCAAAAAAATTAATTAAATACCTTAAACATTTTTCAGCTTCATTGATTTGGTGTTTCAAAAGAGCAAACATAAGCTGACAAACACAGCAGATGGGGAATAGTAAAGTAAGACATCCCAGCACAACCCTCCAACCACTGCTAGAGGGTAAGAGGTTAAGGTTTTTGTTTGTTTTAGTAGAGGTTTTTACGGCCCTCGCAACTGCAAGAGTGTGAAAACATACAAAAGAAGTAGAGGAAAATGACGACAGTAAGGATTTACCGATTAGGAAAGAAAAAGCAGCAGTTCCCTGTTGTAGTTCAGGCACAGTTGTGAGCATGGCATTGTTGGATCAGCCTATTTAAAATTCTACTGTGCATTAGAACGAGAAATGTCCCCCTTTGGGAATGGCCTAAAGACACTTCAGTAAGTGGCACTGCCCCGGGGGGTGCTGCTAGGTTTAGGTTACCAGCTTTGTCCATGAAAGAAAAACAGTATCCATTTAATCACAAAGAAAACTTTGACAATGCTTCTTCTCTAAGTAGGGCTCCCCCACCAGCTTTGCCACTACAAAGTTCTCTGGAAAACAAGCTATATATATCAGAGGAACGAATAAAATGTTGAATTTTTTTAAAAAGTCTACTACGAAGTTCGCAACCGCATAAGGTCATATGATTAATAAACATGTGCAGTTAGGAGGAAATTTTGAATTTTGCTCGGGTGGTGGCTGGAGTCTACTCTTCTCGATTTTGGACCACCAAGGGATCTTTAACGTGTACAACTTGCACATTATGTGACCTCCGAGATTCTAGGTGTTAGATCTTACCTATCGTAAAATCAGAGGTGTGGCTGAAAGACAGCAGTAAGAAGGAGCCAAGGAGTAGCAGTAGAAAGGCTGTAGAAAGAGTCAGGAGCCCAGAGGAGGGGCAAAGGAGGTGAGGGGGAGGGGGCAGAAAGTGGAGAGAGAAGGAAAGGAGGAGAAAGGAGAACATTTTAGAGAAGAAAATTTTTTTCGATATCGGGAAACGAACCCAGGATCTATTGAATAAGAGGCGAACACCGTAACTTCTAAACCACGAGAGACCCATAATGATTGAATTAAAGAGAACTATTATAATGAAGAAAATAAAGACCAACCTTAGGCTTCAGGATGTCTAGACCATCACGCAGAACAATCAGGTCCTGGAAAAACCCCCACAAAAGACACAACATGAAAAGATGAAAAAATATGACACGACTACCTAAATGTGACTTCGTTCATAGCCATTTCAGCTACCTTCTACTGTCCATTTCACTGGTCAAGATACCCATCACACTGGATAAAATTATTACGCAAATAATCTTTCAACAGTTTTGGCACAACAGACAATTCAAAATTTATATAACCAAGTATAGTATCTGCCTCTGGCAACATTCAAAGAAAAATATTTTTCTAAACATTATTTCTCCAAATAGCAATTATATAAAAATTTAAAAAATATCCTGTCACAAAAGAAAGCCCCCCAAAAACCTGAGGAATTGGCCAAAATTATTCTGAAAAGCAGTTCCAGGTGAATAACTCTATCTACTCTTTAATCTTTGTTATTTTATAATAACTCAAGTTTGTCTTTAATGTTCCTCACCCAATAACACTCAAGTTTCCGGAACATTTCGATTTTCGCATCAACTGTATTTCTTTTTATTTCCGACCCAAATAACATATATTAAAAAAATATTCTATAACTTTAGAAAATATGGGGTTCTTGAATATTTCTGACACAACAATGGCATTCTTTTCCTGATTTCTTTCCTAATAACAAAGTCATTACTTGATAGCAGAAAAAAGGAGTTTCTTGATTATTTCTAAATATATATATATATTTTTAAAAATATAAATGGAATTACATTCCTTGATTGAACATTTCTTCTCTGATACAAACAAAGACACACTCAACTTTTTCTAAGACACCGAGAGCATAGCCTACCGTGTTATCCCCGACATAGCATGAAGTGGCCCCTAAATGAATGATAGAAGCAGCTTTAGGGCAAACAGCTCCGAAGGTATGTACGTGCGCCATGACATCATGCCGGAACTTCTTTTCCTCCTTGGCAGCCATTTTGAAGTCTATGTTCTCAATGTTCTGCTCCATCTCCTCAATTTGCTCATCTGTTATCTGTAATCCAAGAGCCTCAAAAAAAAAAAAAAAAAAAAGAAAAGAAAAAAACAGACATTAAGCCAAACACCTATAAAAGTTTGCACAAGAAAAAGGAATAGGAAATTAGTTCTAGTTTTTTTAGTTGGAGTAAAAAACGAAGCATGTCCACATGATACAATACAATCATTTTAAAAAGAAAGATTAAGACAGGCAGAAAGAGGGAAAGAAAGAAAAAAAAGTAGCCTACAACCTATCAGTGGCACCCCAACCCCCTCCCCCCCCCCCCCACACCACTTTCTGGAAAATAAGTAGACAAACATACTTGACCTCCTGTTAGCAACTCAAGTCAACTAACTGTGCCGTCACACATGCAGCTGTTTAGCCTGGAGACTTAGATCTAGAGAGGCTTTCAATTTGTCAAATGAGTCCCGATGTAGCTCTTCGCTTGTTTATGTCCCATTTTATGTATATGACTATCTAAATGTTGTCATTAAAGATTAATCATATTAATAATTAACATATCTCTAGATCTAGATTTCTAGAGAATACTTTTTAATTTTAATTTTTTAACGCAGTGGCTACGTTCATGGCGCCGTGAATGTAGTCTGCAGGCTATGTTCACGGCGCCCTGAAAGCAGTTTGCATGCGCTGTTGAGGCTACGGTCACGGCACTTAAGCTTCGTTTGAGGGGAGCGTCCACTGCCGGTTTGAGTCAGTGACGACAGTGACGTATTTAGTATTTTGGCCAGCTTCAAGTGTTCCATCCCATGAGATGAAGGAAAACGAAGTGCCCTTACCGAATTAAAGTCGGGATACCGGATATATGGAAAATTGGATAAGGTAATGGGAAACAAGAGGCCAGAGATGGGAAACAGAAGGTGGGATTTGGAAGATGGGACTGGTCATAAAACGTGTACAATAATGACTGTATTGCACCGGATCAGCCTGGGAACCGACGCAGAGAGAAAATGATAGGAATCAATTATCATAGGTCTTATTACAATAACAAACACCCTCTGTCTCTCTCTTTTTCTGTCTGTCTTTCCTCTTTCTCTTTCTTCCCCTCCCCTCCCTTCTCTCTCTCTATTTTACTCTGTCTCTGTCAGTCTGTCTCTCCCTCCCTCTTTCCCCCCCCCCCAACCTTTTTTTTTTTTCCCCCAACCTTTTTTTTTTTTTTCTCCCCCCACCCTCTCTCTCTGAATCTCTCACACACACACACTGCCTGCAGACAAAATTGCACGCTTTCAACTCGAGAGCGCTGGAACGTTCGTTTACACTCGTAACAGGCCGTCACACGACAAGGTCGCGCCCAAGTCTCGCCCGGACGCGAGATAGATCTAGGGCAATTGAAACATCTTGGTAGGCGTGTATACATTTTTGTCACAGGCCCTAAGCCTAATTGCTTTGTTGCGTAATTGAGAGTTTGTCATTTTCCCTTTCACTGGCGAGCTCTGAGCCAGAGCTCAGTGTTAGGGAAAACGACGATTGGTCGATCGGTCAAGGATCACTGCTTCGTTTTCCTTCATCTCATGGGATGGAACGCTAGAAGCAGGTCAAAATATTTAATAATATGTCACTGTCGTCACTGACTAAACCGGCTAATTACTTAAACCGGCAGAGGTCGCTTCGTCTAAACGAGGCTTGAGTGCCGTGAACGTAGCCTCAACAGCGCCTGCAAACTGCATTCCGGCGCCGTGAACTTAGCCTGCCAACTACGGTCATGGCGCCGTGAACGTAGCCTGCAGACTACGTTCATGGGTAGACAGCACTGCGATTTTCCTTTTATTAATATAATATTAAAAACAATAACAAGCAATCTCAATAGAAGTTCTGTAGATCTTTACATACCTTTTCTGCCTTAGCAAGGAAAAGCCATAGCTTCCTCCACGTTGAAAATTTCTTGAAATCACTGAAATTTTTTTTCATAGCATCGCTTGCATACCTTGAAGCTAAAGGTGTTCGGTAAATCAAATGTTCCGCGCTGATTTCCATGGGCGTCGCCATTTTCTTTCACTTTCAAGTTTCGCTTTCTCGCTAAGTCTGTCGTTTCCCACGCCCACGTCTTGATTGGCTATTGTCAGATTTCTTTTAGAAGAGAAGAAAAACGGAGGGAGGATGAGGTGAAGATGAAAAGACAGGGAGCTGCCTTCGATTGTGAAAGCTGAGATGGACATTTTAAAATTTGATTGATACAAAATCTTTAATGTTTTATTATCCTCATCGTATGATTAAGATCGACAGACTCTCGATCTTATGGACAGACATAAAATTACAAGTCCATATTGGCATAATTTTCCTCTCGCATCTCGGATTCAGTTCCGGTGTTAACCTACTTTCATTTCTTGAATTATTTCCCGTTCCGATGTTTAAATTGCCCAGATTGGTTGCATCTGGCCACAGAATTCTACACTTAGCGTAGGCTAGAATTCTGTGCATCTGGCACACCTTTTAATGAGGCATTACCGAGATTAAATTGATTAAACGTATCCGTCAATATTATCAGTTAGCTAATCTAGTTAAGAAAATAGATAGCTTGAAAGTAAAATGGCAAAAATGAGCTCCGAAGACATTTTGTAATTTTAAATAAATAATTGTCCGAATGACACTCAGATAAGCGTCTAATTCGGATTTGCCCATAGGTGAATATCCATACAAACAACAAAACAAACGTTAGCTTAGGGCTAGCGGCCATCTTTCTTGGCAGGCAAAAAATGCATTTCGTGTAAGTGTGAAAGCACAAACATTAAAACATAATCGATCCCTCTGTTGTTGTTGTTTTGTTTCGGCTTACTGACAGGTTGGAGGTGAACACAGAAAAATGCATGTTCCATGAAATAAAAGTGCGTGACCAGGCAGTTGAGAATATAGTGGGGTACGTGGATCGACACATTCATTATTATAATAACTCGAGGCTAAAATTAAAATAAAAAGCAGATTAATAAATCAAATCAAATGTGTCTGAATACGCCAGAGGTTGGTGGACTCAATTTTGTCTGTTACACTTTATTCCATCTCTTGACTACGACCGCAAATCATGAATGGAAAATGGGAAACGTGGGAAGCTTTCCCTCTATTCATAAGTTCATATTGTTCATTTCTGAAAAGTGGATTTCATTTATCTTCAAAGACTGGTAGATTAGGCAGAGCTCTAGTGTTTAGATTACGTAACTATATTGAATTTGGTCTCAGCTATGTAAGCTATTTTCATTTGTGTCGCCAGCGGTTTAGGGCGCTGCATTTCCGACGCACCTTTACTTCAGTCTATAATATGATGGTCTGTGAAATGATGCCAATGATGGCTGATTTTATGAAAAATCTGGAACTGGAACTCGGGGAAAATGGCGGAAGTAACTTAGCCCTAATGAATGAATTTTCGACGTAACCCTGCTTCACCTCTTGTATTTCTTTCGACTGACTTCCCTGTTCTTGATTAAAATTTGTAAGTATATGTAAAGTCTAACCAAAGTTATTTCAGTAGTTCAAGACCGTTTGACTCTTGTTGGTAAATGTTAACATAGCTAAACTCGACCCAAAATCCTCACACCTGAATTCTGAATTATCGGGCACTTCCTGATTGTCCTGAACTTGAACATCTAGATATTTAGTTTCTAGATCTAGTATACATCTAGATTCTAGCTGATCTACAGTCTAGATTGCTAGACTAGAGGGCTGGATTGTACTTAACCGGACCACCCGTCTGGGCCCACGATTACTATGCGTGCCTACCTAGCCTAATTAGTAATTACGCATTCACAGTTCTCTACTCTAGAGCGCAAGCCAGCGGTGAGGCGAGGTGAGCGAGAGGACAAGAGGTGGTGGTTGAGGATGGGTAGGGCCAGGGGATTTAACTTCGGTGATGTATAATAACAACACACAGTGTGGAGCGGGGGGGGGGGGGGGGGGGGGGTTCAGGGGGGGCAACAATAATTTTAAAAAAAATGCATGTACACATAATATAATATGCAAAACAATAACATGAGCGGACCATGGCGCTAAAGACTAAGTGGACAATTGGGGTACTCGGAGTTGGAACAGGCCGAGGCGCGAGCAGGACCGAGGGGGTTGCAATTATGCAAATGAGCTCTCGTGCACATCTCTCGCCCTCCATTGTACTTTGCCGGACCACAGATTCGCGATCAAAGAAAAATAGGCCTAGTGAACAGCGTGATTAGATTGACCAATTAGCGTCAAGGTATCCAGGGTCGTGGGTCTAAGGGCACGGTGGCACGGTCGTGATGACTGAAAAGAAAAACCCGGTAAGAGACATCAGTCGGTAATTGGCAGTCAAAGGGTGAGGACGCAGGAAAGTGAGTAGGAGAGTAAATAGGGGAGCTCTGAAAAAAAGAATTAACAGACCACTAGGCACCAGGGGCGCCATAATGAAAGTAGTCCCGACCTCGTGGTTACAGGTGGTCCGGTAAAGTACAATCTTACCGACTAGAGATTATTGACCTAGCTCTTGCAGCAGACGACCTGGCCAGGTTCAGGTACGGCCACCAACTCCTCACTCTACAACTTAAGAATCTGGGTCCCGTCTGTTTAGACTTGGCTTCATCCACACGGAGCACTGAATATCGATACATTTAAATATTCGGTATCGATATTTTATCAGTTCTAAATATTCGGTATCGATATTTTATCAGTAGATCTAGATCTAGATTCTAGCCGACAAAATGAGCAGTAAAATTTCACTTATAGGCCAGGGGGGTTTCAGGGGGGCTTCCCTGACCTAACAAAAACAAGGGTGGGGGGGGGTTCAGGGGGGGCATGCCCCCTGAATTTGACCATAATTTGATGTTTTGCAATTAGGTTTGATTTAATAGGCTATCCCTCCACACAGGCTAGAACTATCTGCATGCGCATTTAAAAAAGTAATCGCTTAGAACCAGAAGTAATCATTGGTGGGGTCAAAACTATAGTATCCCCAAACGGGACCCAGATTCTTAACTCTTGTCCTGCGTCTGTTCTGAGATGCGAATCTTATCAGCAACTGATTACGTCGGACGTTCTGGGCAGGCCGCCGGGGTCACTCAGTGTGTACTGTTGGTATACAGCGCGTGCGTGCTGGGAAACGTGTGTTTTCGCCATGAATATCCTCCCTGGGAGTGTTTTAATCGGTGATGAAAATAACGCTTAGCTTTCTATTTTTGTAAAGTGTTACAAACACTCATAAGCTGATAAGACATTACGAGTAGTTACGCCCTTTCGAACAACTTTTCATGACGCTCTTGTTGTTATGAATGACCTGAGGTTCGAAAGGGGATAAGTTACTATAGGTCAATTTCGGAATGTTTTGCACTCAACTTGTTCTTTCTACCTGCACAATGGTGTTCAAAACTATCAAACAAGCTTATTTTTTATCAGGTATCATTTCATACAAAATCAAGCTCATTTGAAAGATTTTGCATAGAAAAATGGAAGTCTTGTTTCCTGACTATCCTTTCGAGCTCCTCTTGTCTAAGTGGGGCAATTTCTTCTATAATTTCACTGGACGAACATCTAGAGCTACCAACTTGGCGTGTTTTGAATGAGAAGTGTACATGCCTCGATTACGAACCAACGCAGGTGGTTCTAGAAGAAGGCCACAAACGCACACAACTCAAACAGACTGACGCACACACACTTGACCGGCGTGAATGGGGATCCGACGCGGGACCCGAATTTCACGTGAGATGATGCTCGGCACGCGCATGCTGAGCCAGGGGCTAGACTGACTCGGGACCAGAATGCAGGCGAGGTGCCGAAATAGGCTTATCGGGCGACGTAAACCCGGCCCCCGCAGGACGAGGGTTAAGTAGTACCGTCCTCACAACCAACCATGTACTACAAAGTCAAGTAACAGAGTTTTGTCGGTAATTTTACAGTATTGGACCCATCTGGCAAAGAGGCATAAATTTGTGATTTTTCTGAAGTTTTTAGATGTGATATAGACGAATTTGACCATTAAAATCTCGGCACATCAACCTAAAAATGTGAAAAAATAAGGGGGCTTGACTATAACCCCCCCCCATTGGGATCCTATTATATTCTAATTCTAACGGTTTTAAAGGCGAAAAAGAAGATTAAACCCCCCCCCCCTAAAAAACACCTTATATTCTCTACCTTAATCGCGCTGCACTTTTCAATTATCAAAGAAAGAACCCTTGTTGTCGGAAACACTGAAACCACAATGTCTTCTTTTTTTGTCTCAGGAATCACAAAACTTCCTGCAGCGCCATAAACACTTATCCTCGCCTATATGCACTGCGTATTAGATCTAGGCCAACACTTCGGGCACACTACCTCCTTTCGTTAAACACCATGCAAACATACAAAATAACAGCTTTTCTGGTTGTCTTCATAGAATTTTGAGATGGCTTAGAAATAATTGAAGGTGCAGGACTGGCACAAATCCATGACATGACATAACTTTACCCAGACGAGGAGCAGCGTGAGAATGACGGTTAGACTAGAAGATTTCAAACGTAGAGAGGGAAACGATGAAAGCAAAGCACAGCAGACACTGTGAAATGCGCATGCGCAACAATTAATATATATGCTAAAGGTTAGAAGTCGTGTGAGCATGTGTATTCAAAAGGTTAGATGGCGCATGCTCATAGTCTATGACACGTGACTCGCCATGCAATCACATTGCTGTTTCCCAGTTTATTAGTACGCCAAGTTCGTGAAAATATAATACAATGCAGGTATCAATATCTCGCAGACGAGACATTTGCGACGGTTTTGAATATTATATTCGTTAATAACACACTCTAAAACCTACAAAAACCATTAACAAAGAAGTCAACATAAGTTGGGTCCAGTTCTGCAATAATACCGTTTTGTCCCTGAATCCGCCCCTCCCCTTGTCCCCCATCAGCTTTTGGATAATGTGTTACACCCGGTGCCCATGACGTGATGAGAGGATGGGATCGGGTCGATCGCCTGCCTGAAAACAAACGCGATTGTAGGCGACGAGTCGGCCGTTCGGTTTGTGCCACGATAGCCCCTCTGCGCCCTCAATCTGGTTGGCAAACCGACCAGACCTGATAGTGCCGGCAATAGTGCCAAAGGGCACCCGGTATTATCTTTTGTCAATCTCACTTGAAATAAGATTTAGGCCATGTCATGATGTGTGTCCACAAGATGGTTTTATTAGATTTAATTTTTTATGTAAATTATTGGATATCCAGATCTAATGTATTCTAAATATAATGTGTGGGTGCCTGGGAAAAACAAGGTACATTGCAATTGTTTTAACTGGCGTGTCAGAATGCTTTCAGTTCTCTACATTGAACTTTTAAAAATAAAGTCTTAATTTCTGGTGAAGTTATCAGTTATGAATGTTTAACAACTAGATTTATTCAGATTACTGTCTATTCAAAACAAAAAGGGGTTCATATTTTTCGTAAATTTTTGGGTTAGTTCTAGTCCATTATATATTTATTTATGATATTGCAGCTAGTACAGCAGTTACAAGTTCCTTCTGCTTTAAAAATCTAAATTTTTATGACATGATAAAAGAGAGGGAAGTAATATATAAAGTAAAGTAGTAAAGTGACTGAATTTGTACATATATGATGTTCCCAGGCTTCAAAATGAGGTCTACTACGCATTCAAAAGTCGAAACATAGAGAGGGAAAAAAACGGCCTTATTATGTTGTATTTGATATGGATTGGTGAACGAGGTATAATCAATTTTAAGGTAAAGAGAGTCAATAAAATGATCAGTTTAGAGGCTTACTGAATTTATAAATCTTGATGAAAAGTAAATGAGAGATGACCTACTGTGATGTCAATGATGCTGGAATTTTTTTTCACCGCAAGTTTGGTTTTTATCCCTTTCATTTGAGTTGTTGATCTCAGGGATACCTCGAACTTCTAAAACTAAAGAAACGGAGCTTTCCTTAGACACCAAATAGTAGGAAGGTTCTTTGTTCTTTAGGCAGAGGAGAAAAACAACAAAAATAAAACCATGTTTTTAGAGATGATGGGTTCTGACTTTTTTAAGGTTGTACACAATTCACTATAAACATTTGAGTAAAACTCAAAAGTTGGTCTCCAAAAGTGTGACTAAATTATGTGCTTCTCTTTACTCAAACAAACAAGCTCCAATTTTAACAAGTTTGAGAAAAATGAGATGAAAATCCATTTATTATCTGTTTGTTTTTTAAATTAAAAAATCGCCCGGCATTCGAATGGCTCTGCCCCACTTCGAATCTAAGCTGTGAATAGTGAAAAAAAACCCCAACATGACTCATGTCGAAAAGTAAAGTCGAAGATGGGCACAGCTCAAGTCAACTGTGTTGAAATTGTTAAATGCTCTAACCGTGTTAGTAATTGTAATTACTTGAAAATTTTTCAGCACGCACACAAAAAACGCTTGCCTTATATGTTTATGATGACTTATATCATGTACTATTTTTACTGCTTGGTGGTCCCTGATTTTTGTTAGGACTCAAAGAGTGATCTGAGCCACAGTTTTGGAACTAAAAATAGTGGACTTTTTCCTCCAGCTACACAGAAGGAGCACCATAAAGCACAACACTTTGTTGTCCGGGTGGTTAGCAGGTGCTCTGGTGTGGTTTCTCCTTCTTTCCTATCGAACATCTATTGTCCTGTTCTTCTCTCCTTCTTTTTTGTGTTTGTTACTCTGTTGTAACACCTCTAGAGTCTTCGGCACTTATATGACCTTTTATTGTGTTGCAAGTGCGGTAAAAGTGTTACTACCCCCCCCAAAAAAACAAAACAACAACCAGTGGATGTGTGTGTGGTAACTGTTGTGTTATTCCTGATATTCTTGTTTGTGTCCAGCGTGTGTCGCACAGAGCGGTGTAGTAAATATGCCGAGCCTGACGTGCCTGCCACTGAGTGTGTCGGAGGTGCTGGAGGCACGGCGAGGCCCACTCAAGGAGCTGGAGATATGGGCCCTCTTGTGCCAGTGTGCGGAGACGCTGCAAGATCTGGTGATCAAAGGTAACCTTGGATATCTGTCTATCTGCATGTTCGTCTCTCAGTCTGTCTGTCTGCCTGTCTGTCCTGCCTGTCTGTGTGTCTGTCTGCCTGTCTGTCTTGTCTATCCTGTCAGTCTGCCCTGTTGATCTATCTGTCTCTTGTTCAAATGTGCTGTGCCACTACAAGACCTTTAAAGCTAATCAAAGGCCTTTCTTTTGGGCGATCTCTTTTCCCTCATGCTACTGCGTTCATCTGTCTGAGATTTGCCTTCAGGTATTGTGTTCAAGTGAATCTCAGCATTCCTCTCTTCCTCCTTTTTTAGGGGGTTTCCATTGTAGGCTTTGCTTAGTCACATCATTGTGGGCTGGCTTCTCCTAAGAGAGTGTGCCAAATCCATGACTATCTTCTTTTCTTGAACTCACGGCCAATTGGTTGTTTTTCAATTTTCCTCCATAAAATGACATTTTTTTATGGTATCCGGCCAGTGGATGTTTCGTTGTGTTGCGAATCAAATTTAGTGGGGACGATTGCCTAGTTGTTCATGTCAGGCTCTCGGACCCACAACTGTAAGGTCGCAAGTTCGAATCCTATCAGGGGCAAGACATTGTGTCCTTGGGAAAGGCACTTTACACGAATTTTCCTCACTTCATCCCGGCGGAAATGTGTACCCAGCTATTGACAGTGAAAGATCTCGTGAGTGTGTTACTAGTGTTTGAGCGCGTGAAATCTGCTGCTTGCACTGTATGCTTCCCGGGAAGTTGAGAATGTGTCTGAGTGTTCTTGGGTCTACTGGGATAATTATAATTGTAAAGCACATATAGAGCATTCTTTAGAGGGTGGATATATGAATGCAATTATCATTATTATTATTATTATTATTATTATTTTATTATTATTATTAAATTAGTTAGGTATGGTATATGTTCAAACCTTAGTGTCTGAAGCTCGTATGACCTTATGCAGTTGCAAGCGCCGTAAAACCTCTACTAAAACAAACAATTACCTTAGTGTGTTCTTGATCCGCCAGGTGAAGCAGGCAGTGACAACTTGTTCCGGTGTTTGGTGGCCCCCAACACTTTGATGGTGCGAGACAATGGCTCAGTGGCTCTTGCAGAAGCCTCGGAGAGCCTGCAAGGGTCCTTGTACATGGCCCCTGAGGTAGATGGGTACCCGCAGCAAGTGATGTCAGACACTGCCTTTGAAAAGGTGGGGGACCTCTCTGAATGTGTGCTTCTGTTTTTTTTACTCTCCCTCTCTGTCCCTCTCTCTCTGTCTGTTTCTCTCTCTTTCTCTCTCTTTCTCTCTCCCACCCTCCCTCCCTTTCTCTCCCTCTCTCTCTCTCTCTCTCTCTGTGTTTCTCTCTGTCTCTGTCTCTCTCTCTCTCTTTCTCTGCTTGTTTCTGTTACGTATACTCGGCTCACGTTCATATGTATGGACACACTCACCCTCTTAAGCATTCACACACTCACCCTCATAAGCATTCACACACACATACACACACAAACTCATACGCATGATGCATATATGAACATTCTCGCTCGTGCGCACACACACGATTGTAATTGTACACACACACACACACACACACACACACACACACACACACACACACACACATACACACACACACACACACTCACAGATTACACTGTACATCTGTCTTTAAGTATTGAAAAGTGGTTGTCTGGGCACTTTTTTATTTGCCTCTCTGCCTATTTGTCTGTCTGTTTGTCTGTCTACCTACCTGCTTGTGTGTTTGTTGTCTGTCAGTCGGGTGTACTGAAGGTTGAGTATGATGTTCTGTAATATTTGTTCTCTATTTGTTCGTCAGTCTATTTGTATGTCAGCTGAGTGGTACTGAGGATTGGGTATGGTGTTCTGACCGATTTGTTCTCTTTCTAACCACAAGGTGTTTGTCTACTCCCTTGGGCGCACCCTGCAAGTGGCCTCAGAGTTTGGACTAAAAGAGAATGAGGTAAAGTTACTCATATTTATTGTATGATTCAGTGGCGTCAGATGTGTGATATAATGTTCATGGAGGAGAGAGAGAGAAGGGGAGAGGGGGGGGGGGTTAGAGAATGCGGTTAAAGGTCATATATTTTCAATTGTTGATTGAGAGAAACAAAATGTTTATGTTGATTGCTATGTGTTTGACTTATGAACAGAACAAGGGTTAAAGGTCGTATATTTCTGGGTGCTGATTGAGAGGGAGAATAAGATCAGTTGTTGTGTATTTTTATTTGCTGATTGAGAGAATGAGGTCTCATGTCATGTATTTTAAGGCATTGATTGAGGGAGGGATAAAAATGTCTAATGTCATGTTTTCTAAGTACTGACTTGGGAAAAGATTGAGGTGAAATGTCATGTATTTAGGTATAATGTTGCATACTTTCAAGTGTTGATTGAGATAAAGAATAATGTAAAAATTTTACATATTTTCTTTTTTTATTTGATTGAGAGAAAGAATAAAGTAAAATGTTGCATGTTTTCTCTTGGTGTGAGAGAAAAAATGAGGTCAAATGTTCCATATTTTCAGGTGTTGAGCGTCAGCTTCGACCTGGACTCCCTCCTGCAGGCAATGACAGAGCCCAATGCTGCCCTACGTCTTGGCCTTATACACATCCTGGAGGTAAGGTTTGGCTTAATGGAGGCTTGGGTTTTTTGTGTTTTTGTTGTTGTTTTTTTGGTTTTTCATTTTGTTTGTTTTTTGTTCTGTTTTTGGTTTGTTGGCGAGGTAACATGTAGGGTTTATCATGGGCTGTACTATGTGGAGGCTTCTCTTTTTTAAAATTGTTTTTGTTGTTAGAAAATGTGGCCTAGAGGTGCGAAGCTCACCTCTTATGTCAAAGCTATTGGGTTCAAACCGTGTCAGTACCAGCAAGTCTAATTTTCTTTTCTTCTTCTTCTTCTCCTACTCCTTCTGCTCCTTATTTTTCCACCTCTTCCTCCTCTCTTCCTCTAAAAAAAAAAAAAAAATCTCCCTCCCTCACTCAGTCACCAAACTTCTTCTCCTCCACACCCCTGATCTACCCATTCATCTGTAAGATCGAGTACCTTGTTTTCTTGGATAAGGATGAAAAATCTTGGATGTCCTGTGTGCATGTTGTGCACATGAAAGATCCCTTGTTGATTGAAAGCTGTAGAAGAGAAGCCTGTTAGATTGCCACCTGAGCAAAATTTTAAAGTTCAAAATTCCCTACAATAAAAAGATATTCCTTTCACACCTGTAGATATAAAAAAAAGTACACCCTTGCCATTTAAAAAAATTCCAAACGTATGGACCATGTCTCTCCTTTGAAGCATATCAAGAAAGTCAAGATCTGAAGAGAGGAGAGTAGTAGTACTCGGGCAATCTTACTTTCTCCATATCTACCGCCCATGGACATCTGTGTCATGCATACTGTTTTTACATTGTCTGTCAAGACGCAAGAGGCCATAGAATGTTATTGTTGTTGTTTGGAAGTATTATGTAAGATTAATACATTACAAACCCTGCCTTGTTGCATAAGCTAGCAAGGTCTATAACTTGTCTTCCTCCCAGGATGTAAAAAGTCATCATTAGATCATGATGGCCAAATATCATTATTATTATTGTTATTTTTTATTTTATTACTATTATTTATTGTTGTTATTGTTGCTGTTGTTATTATTATCATGATTATTATTATTATTTGTC